GCGAGGAATGCATATAGGATATTGGTGGGAAAGCCAGAAGGAAAGAGACTCTGCAGTACAACAGATCTGGTTGTAAAAGTATTTACTCCTCGACTAGTGATTTTTGAACTGTGTTCAATATCACTAGTCGAGGAGGATGAGGTTGGCATGTAGCACGAATGGGGGAGGCGAGGAATGCATATAGGATATTGGTGGGGAAGCCAGAGGGAAAGAGAGACTGCAGTACAAGAAATGTGGTTGTAAAAGTATTTAGTGCTAGTAGCGAAAAAAGCACTCAAAATAGTTGGTAAAGTAGCATACCTTCTTACCGATTGTGCTCTCGGCCCAGGAGGTCATTTTAAATTTAGTTCGTGTAAAATGAACATAGATGGCAGCAGCATTGCACCGATGTGTCATGGCCGCCATGTTGCCAACCAATAACATGGGAGTTTCACGGGGCTGCTCCGGACACTGCGGCAGCAGTGATGCTTTGATGACGTCACGGCATCTGGGTTGCCCGCCAATAGCATTGTGTTCCCCTTCTGTTCTGTGCCATCAAGCGCTTGGCTTGAACCGCTTGAACGGCGTGAACTATGCCTTGGCTGTGGCAGTGGCCTTGAACAGAATTCACGTTTACGCGAATAATATTACAGACGTACGTATGAATAATAGTATGAAGGGTGAGCTATAAAACTGGCCCTCGCACTGTGACCTTCAATGATCTATTGTGCTTCTCATTTGGATTAAGAGTACAGACGTATTTACGTACGTACGTTCCAGTTAGGGTAGGTTTATGCTGGCACGTCAGTATGTTGGTAACCGGTACATTACGCTTTTACATGATGAAAGCCACATAAGGTAAACTATAAGACTGCTCGTGTTGATCTCTTGACAGCTGCAAAAACTGTGTGTGAGGGTGGTGGTGTAAACTCGCCCAACCTAACCTGTTGGAAGTCTATGTAAATCAAGACGCGCTCAGACAAGTGGCCCGGAATGCCGGGAGGAAAAACAAGTGACGTGTGATGTTTGTGAGTGGAATTATATTCCGTAAGTTGGTAATTCATAGGAAACGGTGAAATTTGATAGATAGGAATGGTTGTCTGCATTATAGAAGTTTGATAGTTGTGAGGAATATCAAAGGTTATATATGATACAGTTTTGAATGTAGGGATGTTGTGTAAAGTGTGTGAGGTTGGAGGTTTGTAAGTATTATAAATACTTAGATATGTGAGATATCTTGAAACATAGAATCGCTCTTGGACACTTTGTGATATGATGCAGCAGTTAATCCAACCGAGTTGTGCCAGAATGTGCAGTAAGATGATGCTTCAACTGAAGAGAATGTCTCGGGTGCAGACTGACATTACCTGCTCCTTTAAATGAAGATTGTAGCTCTATATGATAGCGACAGATAATTGAGAAGTAGAATGGGATCTGTTATATGATACAGGTTACTTGTTATTACAATATATTGGAACGTTGGGACTGCTTGTTGAGTATAGGGAATTTGGAGGTATAGGCACCGAAAGGGACAGACGACCAATCTGCTTATCGGAGGCAGCTTGGAGGCAAGTAGAATGTGTGCGTAATGAGGAGCATGGCCCAATTATTAGTAGCCATCTGTAAATCTTTAATAAGTTCCTGTCAAATCTTTAATGGTGTGCACAATGTGTGTTTCAGTGGGTGCAGGGGGGAGGAGTGGATTTGATTCTACATACGTGGTATGTGCCTACTGTTCAGGAGAATCCATGTCTTTCCAGATAACATTATGGGTCTGAATATGTGAGTTCCGTTTATGTGCTGGCATCATGATCTGCAGGTAAGAATGAAATAACTACTTGTGTTGTACATGACTGGAGGCTGAATGTGGTAAATTATGTATTTAGAAAGACAAAAAGAAAGTATGGTCAAAACCACGTGTTCATCTCTCAGGAAACCAGGGCAGTGTGTGGAAGACTGGTAATTTAACTCCAAGATTATGTGCAGTTCCCTAGACCTCCAGTGTTACTTACCAAATGTAAACCAGGCCAGTCTTCAGGAATACTAAGTACTGTGAAGTATAGAGTTTTGTAAGTTTTACGCCCTTGGGAATTTTGAAGAGTTGGATGTGTGCAAAATGTTTCTGACAGCATGAGCCTGCAGTGTCTTGGGCATTAATATTATGCCCCAGTTGTGATAACCTCAGGTAAATGAACCAGGCCCTTCACTGCCCGAATGCACAGTGATGTGTCACGAACACAGTGTGATAGGTTTTGTCTCCACCATGCTGTATTAGGTTATTGTAGGAAAATAAAAGTTATGTTGGTGGGGATTTCTGTGGCATAGTATTCATACCATGTAAACGAATTTCCCTTGAATCCACTGGTACTAGTTGTACGAGTAGTATTATTATTTGTGCCCTGTTAGTGAAACATGTAGGTTGTACAGTTGTGTTTCTTGTGTTCTCACACATTTCCCAGGTTGATGACAGTTGCAATTAGTGTGTAGAGTTTGACTGGATTTCTTTAGACTTGATTTAGTATGATGCTGGTTATGTACAGTAGATTATTCTAGTGAGAGTAATAAAGTAAGTATTCAATGGCAGGTTGAGATGTGAGGTTAACTGGAGTATGTTGGATAGATTATCCTCTTCTTGATTAATGTTTATGAAGCATGTCAGTGAGCATCTTATTATCCCACAACTGTGCAGAAATAATGATGAAATTTAGTTTAATGGAATTAATTTAGACATCGGATATTAATATTGTCCCTTGATATTACTGGAAATGCACTCATAACATTGCGTAGTATTTCCGTTCTGTTCTACTAGTGTGAAGATTATATTGCTCTTAATGATTATCTGTGAATGCAGTTTTCCTCAGTTTTTGTTTATATTAGAGACTTTATTACTGCTTGTCATGGTCCTAAACCTTAGTGAGGGCATTAAGTGACTGATTGAATGTTAAGAAGCAGTGCTGCAGCAGCAGAATGTGAAAGTTGAAAGTCACGGTCACAGAGATTTTCATTGGATGTGATGTAAAGCCAGTTGAATTGACCTGTGATCCAAATATCTGCTTATTGATACCTCCTGTTTTAAGGTTATTCTGCCATGAGGTGTTCCATCTTGCAAGGATCCACTTTCCAGGAGGTTTCCCCACAGAAAATTTAGTATGAATGTTATGTGCCCTGTAATGCTTGCTACTTGTGAGGCTACTGAAATGTCAGAAATTCTGGGTGATATATTTATAGTTAGGTCAGTGTCCTGAATTGCTGGGATGTGATCCTTCTCAGGTTTAAATATCTTCCTGGTAATTTTGTTTGTCTTGTGATGAGTTAGTAATAAATATGTGACACCATGGAATTAGGTGTTGTAATGAATTTTCATTCATTCATTCATTCATTCATTCATTCATTCATTCATTCATTCATTCATTCAATCATTTATGTATTTTACATTCCATAGATCCACAGTACAACAGGTAAGATATGGAACATGTCACGTGGTACATATATAAAAAGACAAATATGCCAAAAAATAAATAAAATAAAATGATGACAAAAGTACAAAAAGTTCTCTACTAATAGTTTTAAAACTTGGTGACAATAAACATAATTTAATAAACTATATATAAATTCTTTGGTATGTCATTGACTTGCAATAGCCTTAAATTGAAGATATTCGTCAATGGAATAAAAATAATGTGTATAAAGAAAATGTTTTAGACAGGCTTCAAATTTCCTTGGATTATGCGATATATCTTTAATATGTGGAGGAAATTGTTAAATACCCTAATACCCATACAGTACACTCCCTTTTGATAAACTGCAAAATTTATTGTAGGCAGATAAAAATTATAAATCCTTGTTATTGACCACAAACAACATGAGTGAAAAAATATATTTTGATGCAAGAGGCAAAATTTTCAACTTCCTAAACAAATTCCTGCATGAAGCCCTGCTCCTACAGCCCATCATAATTCTTATTCTTTTTTTTGCATTCTAAATATTTTTAAACTGTGGGGCGAATTTCCCCAGAACATTAAGCCATAGCTTATGATCAAATTAAAATATGAATAATAAATAATTTT